AGGGGCAGAGAGGGAGGGAGACACAGAATCCAAAGCAGGTTCCAGACTCGGCACGGGCAGCACAGAGCCTGACGCGGGGCTCAAACCCACAAGCCGCGAGATCGTGACCTGAGCTGAAGTCGGACGCTTAACCGACTGAGCCACCCAAGTGCCCCCAAGAAACCTATTTTAGAAAGCAACTTCTTAAATCCCGCCCCCCCCAAAGAAAACCACTTAGCCCAAGAATTCCACTTAAGCTCCACCTCTCTGAACGTGAACTGTTATCAGATGCTGTCACCTTTCTCTTCTGCTCATCACTTTGCCATGGTCACTAGGTCAACCAACATGAGGACCTTGCTATAACCAGTGGATTACCATTGTTCTGGGGACAGGTGGTTTAAACAGGAAAGGTGGGTTGACAAAGCCAAGTGCTCTCAGTCAGAAGGTGAGATGGAACCACGTTTACACCACTGTGGCTCCTTGTGGGGATTCTGCATCTGATGTTTAGGGAGCTCTGAAAAGGGCAGGTGTCATCACTTCTACAAATCCAGCACCTACCAAAGCGTGTGACGCATTAGAAGGATAACTTCGGGGCACGTGGGTGCCTCAGTCGGTTAAGCGTCCGACTTTGGCTCAGGTTATGATCTCGCGATTTGTAAGTTTGAGCCCCACGTCGGGCTCTGAGCTGACAGCTCAGAGCCTGGAGCCTGCTTCCGATTCTGTGTCTCCCACTCTCTGTCTCTGCCCCTGCCCCGCTCGCACTGTCTCTTCCTCTCTCTCAAAAGTAAATACACATTAAAATAATTTTTTTTAATTAAAAAAAGAAGGATAATCTCAACATTAGTTGAAGAGATTTATTTCAAGATACAAAGCAGGAACTTGCTAAAAGGGAGAGGCCAAAAGAAAAAACACAGCTATTTTGATTTCCAGAAACCAAAAGGAAAGGGGAAAACAGACTTACTTCAAAAACAGAGAAAGAAAGGAAGAAAAGATAGATTTTAATTACATAATCATGTCCCAACAGAATCTGTGGTCGCGGGGAGTACCCGAAAAGAAGCTGGAATCGGTGAGATCCTACACACTAGCTCTTTATTTCCTCCAGTTTTGTTTTCTTGGGATTCTGTTAGGGAGAAAACGCTGGCTGCAGACAATTGCTTGCGTTTGTCGATCAATAGATCAAGGAACAGTCAAAGGAGATCGGGAGGAACGGTGCTGGCATTGATGAATGTGGACAGGGCCAATGCAAATCCTGTGTTCAATTAGCATTTTTGTGGACCGAGCAATTTCTGAAAACTGCTTTCAAGTCATAGGATATGCAGGGAAGCACCTGGTGCCATTTCTGGAAGTACTTCTGATGCCTTCAACCCATCCCACTCGTGCTCAATCTTTGACCCTTCACCATGCCAACAGTAGCATCCGCCTTCTGGCCTACGTGCTTCTTGGCTGTGTTAGGGCTTAAAGCATTAGTAGTAACAGTCAGCCCTTACTTGAGCTTCCTGACAGAGCACCAGGCACTGCACAAGTCTCAGTAAATTCCCACAACGATGTGTTGTTTACAAATGAAATAACGAAAGCTCGGAGAGGTGAGGAAACTTGCCCAAGGTCACACAGCTGGTAAGTGAAAGTTGTAGAATTCCATCCAATGTCTGTCCAAAATCTATGCTCCCTGGACTAAATCATTCTGTCCCTTCTGTTCCCTCACTTCAATCTTACCTTTCCAGCCATGATGTCTGGGTAGCTCTAATTAGCTAGACCCACTTTGGAATAAGAACCTAAGGCTTTCATTCTGACCACACTAATCAGACGTCTGATCTCCCCACTGGGGCTTCTGCCTGTTACAGGTGCCTTCCCACACTTGATGGCCACAGCTTCAGTGCCTTTTTTTTTTTTAATTTTTTTAATGTTTACTTATTTGTGAGAGAGAGAAAGACTGTGAAAAGCGGGGGAGGGGTGGAGAGAGAGAGAGAGCAAAATCCGAAGCAGACTCCAGGCTCTGAGCTGTTAGCACACAGCCCAATGCGGGGCTCGAACCCATGAACCGCAAGATCATGACCTCGGCTGAAGTGGGATGCTTAACCAACTGAGCCACCCAGGTGCCCCTGTGTGCCTTTTTATATTAATTCTTTCTGGGAGGTTTTGAATGGATTTTGCATTCCGAAATATCTACACTGGAGCTTAGGAATTACAGTCAAGCCCTTTGCCGATGTTCTCTTCTGTTCAGAAAACTCAAGAAAAATCAGAGCAAGCCCCAAAGGACAGCCGCAAGCATGTTGATAAAGACACTTATACGTTGGTCTATTTTGTTTAAGCGCCACCTTTTCTCTGGTCCATCACAGGCGTCCATTACTAATGCAAATACCCTTGAGCCATTTTGCCAAAACAATGACTAACAGCATATTTATTCATTTATTCAAGTGTAAACCAGTCCGTTGCAAGGTATAGACGCAAGCCCTGAATACAGAGAGCCAGGGGGAAGGTTATGTTAGAGCAGGTGTATTTCCGAGGATGCCACACGTCCCCAGATGGAAGTCCCCTGTGCAGTATTGTGTTCTTACACAGCACAGTCACAAAGGAGGAAAGCTTCTGACTGGAAGCCAGCTGAAGAGTAACTTGCCAAGCAAAACACGGAGGATCCAACGCCAACATCTCCAGTTAATTCTTCTTGAGGAAGGAGGAGAGTCTCCCTGGGATGAATGAATGTTTTGACTGGGTGATTAATCACAATTATGCTGGAAAACCTGCCCGTGTGTTTTCTCTCACAGGGTCCTCGAACACCTTCCTCGCTGCCACCGTCTACAAAAGGGGCCCTTTTAATTGCTTTAATTGAGAAAAGACCAGGAAATGGAGCCAGAGCTCCAGATGAGACATCTATAATAATAGTCCCTCCGCAAAAGACACCGTAATATTCCATCTGTCTCTTAGTGTTGTGAAAGGGGCGGAACTTTCCCCCAAGTCTTCCCGTTGAGTGGTCTTCAGCCTCCTCACCACGCACTCACTCACTGAGCACTCTAACGAGATTTTAGCAAATTTTCTCAACTTGACTACCTAACGGTAAGTCCATTCCGAAAGAAGAGTTTACTAAGTCCAATGATTCTCTTTTGGCAGGCTGACAACTCCTGGATTTGACTGGATTAAACCCAGGAAAGACTTCCTATGCCAATTCAGAGGACACTCCCCCCAGATTCAGAAAGCTTTTCTTAAAAACTCCCATGGGGCGCCTGGGTGGCGCAGTCGGTTAAGCGTCCGACTTCAGCCAGGTCACGATCTCGCGGTCCGTGAGTTCGAGCCCCGCGTCAGGCTCTGGGCTGATGGCTCAGAGCCTGGAGCCTGTTTCCGATTCTGTGTCTCCCTCTCTCTCTGCCCCTCCCCCGTTCATGCTCTGTCTCTCTCTGTCCCAAAAATAAATGTTGAAAAAAA